AATAGAGGAAAACCTTATAAAGAAGAAAAAAATATCATATTTTACTAATGGTCTTTCTTTTCTGTTAGCACATTAATTTTGCTATTTATAATATTTTTTAGATCGGTGTAAAATTTTACTGCAAAATATCAAATGAAGGGGTGTGCATTTCTTTATATAAAAAAAGACTATGCTATTTTCGGAAATGATATGCATTAAAAATAATTTACTATTCATTTTATTTCACAAAATGTATTATTTTGACATTTTGTTATAAAGAATGTCATTGTAGAACTTTAATGCAATTTATATTAGTTTATAAAATAAATTGATAAATAGTTTTTCATTTCAAATTATATTAGTTAGATACGTGATAAATAAAAACATAAGTATATTTAACTATTTTTAATTTATCCGAAAAAATGTCAAAATTATTTATTTTCTTAAAAAGTAAAAGATGGAGTATAGTTTTGACTATTTCGTTGACAAAAAAAGTTTTGACTATTTCAAATATTGCCAGAATATTATGTCATTTCGGAAAATAAAAACCTTCAAAAAATCCAATCGGACAAAAAGTAGCCGCCACCGCAGTTAATACAAATCTATCTATCTGCTATTATAAAAAGCAATAAAGTGATGTTTTTTTAACAGCAAATTTCAGCATTTTCATGGCGTCTCCTTCCATATTTACTTGTTTGACCTCTGGAAGCTCCCTATAAGCTCTCTATCTGTAAGTTTAGATATTCGTTTTCATGCGTTAAGCTCAAACATCAGCCAAAACAGAATAAAAAACTTCCTTCTTTGCTTCTTCTTCGGACAAAGAGGTGAGTTTATGGTTCTCGTTTTTTATTTTTATTTTTTATTTTTAATATCATTTTCGGGTGTTATCGAGACGAAAAACAATTTCTTAAACCGCAAATCACTGCACTAAAGTCTCTGAAACCCATGTGAGGCTTTTACAGGTGTATCAGAGTAGAAGATATTTCATTTTGTTTGTTTGTGGTTATTGTAAGAGATTGTGTTACAGAGAATTTTTAACTCATTTGATGCGTTTGTTCCCTTGTTTACTTCGTTTGAGCTCAATTGAGTCATTTTCCCTGCTTCCAGGGCTTCAAAGTTGCGAGCTTTTCTACATCTCAGGAAGGCGTTGACTGTTCTTGAGATGAGTTTGTGTTAAAGTTGGTGATTTTTAGTCTCTAAAGATTCAATTCTAATGGAGCCTCCAAAGGGAATTCGAGCTTCTTTGTTGCAATTCTTTATATTCCTTCCTTATTTCATTGGATTGCTGTTTCTGGGTGTCATCAAAGGTATGAACTTTAGAGTTTAAAACACTGCTTTTATGTCTCTCTTACTTTATCTCTTGATTCTTGAACTGGGTGTTACTAAAGGTCTGAACTTTCAATGGATTTTTACTTCCTAAAGCCCAATTTTCAATTTATTCAGACAGATCTTATGAAGGTTTACTTCTGATAAGAACATAACTCACCACTTGATTTGACTTTCTTTGCATGGATGTTGACTTTAGTTGGTTTAGTTGATTTGTTCTTCATTCTGCAACTATAGAGCTGAAAGTTCAAAGTCAACACCTAATGCTTACACTTTGACCTTACCACACTTAATATAATGCAATGGTTTCTTTCTTTGTTGCTTTAGGTATCGTTTTGTGCCCACTCGTATGCCTCGTTGTGACTATAGGCAACTCTGCAGTCATACTTAGTCTTTTGCCCGTTCACATCGTTTGGACTTTCTATTCAATAGTGAGGTAACTAACTAACTTCCATGTCCTCTCCAATCCCTTTGCTATCTCTCTTAGCGTTAAAGTATGATTCTTTTTTTCAGAGCCAAACAAATAGGACCGATCTTGAAGTTCTTTCTATGCTTATGTCTCCCTGCCGCTATCATTCTATGGCTAGTTCTTGGTATTTTAGCAAGTGTTCTTGGAGGAGCTTTATATGGTTTCCTCTCCCCTATTTTCGCCACCTTTGATGCCGTTGGAGAGGGCAAGCCTTACCCTTTTTTCCATTGCTTTTATGATGGAACTTGGAGCACCATTAAACGCAGCTTCACTGTTGTCCGTGACTTTAAAGATGTGTGCTTCCACTCATACTTCTCATTAATGGATGAGCTTAGAATATGTTGCCCTGATCAAAAACATTATGAGATAAGGTATGTCTCTTTAGGCATGGGTGTTAGTTTTTGGTTATGTTCAGTTCAGATATTTTGGTTTTCGGTTTTTCGGTTATAAAGATTTATGAAGTGTTTAGTTATTTACAGAGTTCAGTTCGATTTCAGTTTAGTTATAATATCTGAAAATATGGGTCCAATTCGGTTCTCGGTTCTGTTTCCGGTTCAGTTTTGTTTTTTTTGGTTCCATAGATTATAGATATAGGATCTGTCCGGATATTTGTGAAACTCAGTTCGATTTTGGTTATTTCGGTTCGGTTTCAGATAAATGTGTCCACGCCTTACTCTTATTAATGAGTTCTCTCTAGAAACACATTCAATAGAGCTTACATTCACAGTCTGTACTTGTTTCCAGGCTACATCAACTTCCAGGAGCTATGATAGTTTCAGCTCTCGGGATTCTTGTTGACTTCCCAGTGATCTCACTCGTAGCCATATGCAAAAGCCCTTACATGCTCTTCAAAGGATGGCACCGTTTGTTTCAAGATCTCATTGGACGTGAAGGTCCTTTCTTGGAGACAATGTGTGTCCCCATCGCAGGCTTAGTGATCCTACTCTGGCCTTTGGCTGTTGTAGGCGCAGTTCTTGGCTCAGTCGTCTCTAGTATCTTCCTTGGTGCTTATGCAGGAGTGGTCTCATATCAAGAATCATCGTTTTACTATGGACTATGCTTTGTGGTTGCCTCTGTGTCGATCTACGACGAGTATAGCACTGATATACTTGACTTGCCTGAAGGATCTTGCTTCCCAAGGCCTAAGTATAGAGCAAACGAAACCGAATCAACAGCTTTTTCAGGTCCTATACCAAGAATAGGCTCTGTTAAGAACAATGCTTCAACAAGAGAAGGATCAGTTAAAGTCCCTATGATCGATATAAAACCTCTCGATGTAAGTAAAGCACATGCTTGTTTTACATCCATTGAAACCTAGTTGGGAACATAACTTTGTTGTCTGTTGAAAAATGTTGTTGCAGCTTCTGGAAGATCTCTTTGTGGAATGTAGAAAGTTTGGTGAAGCTTTGGCGAGTAAAGGGCTGATAAATTGTAAAGATATAGAAGAGGCGAGGTCTAGTAAACGCAGCCAAGTGATCAGCGTTGGCTTGCCAGCTTATGCACTTCTTTACGAGGTTCTACGCTCTGTCAAAGCCAATACTACCGGCTTGTTACTCAGTAATGCTTCAATCTTTTCTTACTTTAACTTCTGCTTATAAAGTTTTCTTACATTTTTGTTTGCTCTGTAATGATGCATTTGTTGTGTAGGTGATGGTGTAACGGAACTAACTACTAAGAACAGACCAAAAGATGCCTTCTTCGATTGGTTTCTGCATCCGTTTTTGATACTAAAGGAGCAGATGAAAGCTACAAACTTGTCTGAGGAAGAAGAAGAGTACCTTGGGAGATTGGTGTTGTTGTATGGAGACTCAGAGAGGCTAAAGAACTCGTATGCTGAATCTGCTTCTCCTACTCTCACTGAGCGTAAAAGAGCTGAGCTTGATGCCTTTGCTCGCAGGTAAAGAAAACTGTCTAAAAGTTCATTTGTTTGTTTTTTATTAGAATATATGGTTTCATCTATGTGTTTGTGTTTGTTAGGATTCAAGGGCTAACGAAAACGGTATCAAGGTATCCAACATTCCGTAGACATTTTGTGTGTTTAGTGAAGAAACTATCAGAGGACTTGGACCTGAACCATGACGGTTCGGTAAAGGAGGAAGGATCTATAACGGAAGCGCCTGCTCCGGTTAAGATATTTTCTAGGATGTTCAGTAAGAGTCAAAGATCGTTCAGAAGAAAAGGGAGTATGAATGGATCTGATCAAGAAACGCGAAAGGGTGTCTCAAGAAGTGTACATATTGTTTAATCAATGCATGGGGACATGTGGTTGTGGATGTTTGAAAACGTTTTACCCTTTACTCGACCGAAAAATCGTTGTTCCTTGTAAAGATTGTTCAGACAGATTCTTTTGACTTATAGAACAATAATGTTTTCAGACAAGAAACTGAAACTTTGGAAGTCTCCCTAGCATTGATAGAACTACAAATGTTGAACCACTGATTGTTGTAAGTAGATGTGTTTGTGTGTATACAAATAGGGCCGGTCCTAAACCTAGATGGAATATTTGTTCTGATCCTTAAAATTCATCCATAAATCTGTAATTGTTTCAAGTTCCATGAATACTTTTTCTTTAAAGCTTTGTTACACATCATATGATGTTTTCTTTCTTTCTTTTTTCTTGCTAAAACGACAATATATGATACTACTAGACATAAAAAAATTATCGTGCCTTCTAATGCTTACATCTTAATACACTTTCTAAGCACTAAGAAGATGCACAAGTCTTCATCAATCTTCCATGTTGCAAAAAACATGACAATTTTTTTTGCAATCAAAAGAGCCTAAGTTAAGAAATTGTCAAAGTTTTATGGCTATGCTTGCTTTATATAGCCCCAGTTTTCATTTAGATCAACATCAATCACACACTATATGTCCATCTACAGTGACAAAGTGCGAGATGAACCGAAGCGAAGATACAAGTTGGCTATGGATCAACACATGTTTGATAGAAGTGAAACCACAAACAAACAATGTTGAAAAGAGTAATCATATGAATCAAAACAAGATGGAGGGAAGTTTCTAACTTGCGGAATTAACAAAAAAGAAGAGGATAATAAGTAAGCAAAAAAAAATCATACTTAGACGAACGTAGAGAAGAACATACTTTAATTTTGAAGTTCAATTCGCAACACACATAAACCCTAATAAACGGGAATATAGATAGATTAATCCAGAAATTACATAACCGAAACAAAGGGGAAATCTGAAGAAGTAAAAAGAAGGATGATCAGTTGATATCGGTGTCGTCGAAATCATCTTCGAACCTATTGAAGAATTCGGCGTCGGCGAGCTTGTTATCATAGATAAGTCCTCCTTCGCTGAGCATCTCCATGGCTTCGATGTCATCTACGTCCATGGCCATCGAAGAACCTCCATCATCCATCTCCGCCAACAGTTCCAGTTGCATCGGCCTCATTCTTCTCGTCTCTTCTTCTTCTCTCGCTTGTAATAAATTGTAACAATAGACCTTTTCTCGACTTCTTATATATTATTAAGCCATAAAGGCCAAGGCCTTACAAGCTTTGGTACAAATGGGTAGATATAACCCAATTACACAAAAGCCCAATTAAAAGTTTTTTTTTTTTTATTTGATCAACTCCCAACTAAAAGCTAAAACAGAGGAAAAGATAAGGCTTTTTAGTCAATAGAACTACAAATGCTTAATTGTTTTTTTTTTTGTTTGATCAACTCCCAATTAAAATCTAAAACAGAGGAAAAGATAAGATTTTTTAGTCAATAGAACTACAAATGCATCAGTAAAACATCACTTATTTGTATGTGTACAATATATTTTTTTTTTTCACATTTGGGAATGTCTAATTTCTAACCATATGACATGTTGGTCATCTATCAATCAACCATGTTGTTTCTTCCAACTTTGTTTCATATTGCAAGATCAAGACAAGTCACCAAGAAATCTTTTATTTCTCTTCTTGGCTCTCACCAAAATGAGCTACAATGCAGTTTCTTTGTTCTACACAAACTAATCTAATTGGAATAATTGCATTGTGGGATGCAGACAATGCAACACTTCCTGACGGGTACAACATCAATGATTTTAAAAGATTTATTAAGTTGGCGCTGAAGAAACACGACGATAGATTTTATTTGAAGGAGATAACTACGTCAGTAAAACATCACTTATTTGTATGTTTGCAATATCTTGTTTTTTTTTGTATTACATTTGGGGATGTCTAATTTCTAACCGTATGACATGTTGGTCCTCTATCAATCAACCATGTTGTTTCTTCAAACTTTGTTTCATATTGCAAGATCAAGACAAGTCACCAAGAAATCTTATTTTTCTCTTCTTGGCTCTCACCAAAATGAGCTACTCTCACTACTTGGCACAATTCAGTTTCTTTGTTCTGAACATACTCATTGTTGACATCACAAGCTATCATGTCTACGACCACTCTTGCGAAAGAAATATTAAGATTTCGCAAAACCTTTTTTTAGTTTAAAATTTTGTTTGGAAAAAAAATTTTCTGAAATTTTCCTGTAATTTTTCTAATTTTATATTTATGTTTCCTATTTTATTTCTTATTAACTGCTTTTATTAATTAATTAAATAAAAATAACTGACACGTTATTTTATTTACAAGTTAACATGACATATTTTTTACTTGATTAATAAGTAAGCGAGATTGAAATTTTATGATGCAAAAGCCAATTTGAAAATTTAATATATTAGTTTAATAACTTTAAAATTTATAATATTAGTGAATGACAATTTGAAAGTTTTACATGTGATTTTCCCTTTGATCAAATGCAAAATTGTTGTCAAATACCAAGTCTTATCTTCTTTGAATCTTATGTCTAATGTGAATACAATGTATAAAATCTAAACTGAGGCCTTTGATCATGTTTAGTACCAACAAACTTATGATTCCAACTCAAACAATGCATATTTTTTTTTTACTCTAAGCTACTACTACTCTTATATTTAGAGACTTCATATTACAATTAATGTGGTACACAATCTTCACATGCTCTCAATTTCCTTCTTCACATATCTCACCTCATTCAACTTGATTTTCTCATATCTCTTGACTTTTATGATGTCTCTTTCAAAGACAAGATGAATTCACATTTAAATCTGAAGTTGTTGGAAACGATATTGTTTACTACCTTTAGAAAGTGTGGGAGCAGAGAAGCAAAATAGCTTTGAAATCCATCTAGCATGTCTTTCAATAACTGTATGAGAAACCATAATGAAAATCAATGAGATTAAATGAGAGTAATGTTTGCGCATAGTTTAACATTGACTCTAACAACCATCTTGCCAGTCTTAACCATATCCAAACTACATTTGCAAAACTCTAAACATATGTAGTTATATTGCTAGTCTCATGAAAAAAACCAAAAAAAAAAAAGCTAACAGTATTTGGATGATTGTCATATAAAAGTATTTGAAATTTGTTAATTTCTTCAGCACTAGAATTTAGGAATAAACCTCAACTATTTAATGCATTTTTAACAATAAAACTGGTAAAATTATAAGAGAATGTGAGATCCATAAGATCTGAATCGATCTTTCAATCTCCTCCAAGAGTAATTTAAATGGATTGGGAAGAAAGTTGAAAGACAAAACTAAAAAAAACATGAAGATAGATTGCTGTGAGAAAGACCACAAAAGGCATTACACAAATTTTGACATACAACAAAATGTTTCGAAGAGTGAACAATTGTCAACACGAAATAACCATGGAAAATAAATTAATAAATTTGGATTTTAAACTAAAGGAAACAAAAACTATTAATACAACCGAAATCACAAATCAAAAGGAAAAAATCATAATTTTCTAAGCAAAAACGATTAGATTGTAAATCTAGAAAGAGTGAAACCACACATATATACACACAACAACACATGATTCAGAATCATATGATATCGAGGATGATTGTTAACTAGATAAATTATAAAAGTAACTAAAAAAGAAGGAAAGATGATGAATGGTAAAGTGACAATTATTATATAAACACTTCTATTTTTTTGGTTATGTTAGTGTCATAATTTCTGTATTTATTATAGTCACTAGATCATTTTTCCGCGCTACGCGCGGATTATGTATTTTAATATTTTATTTTTTTAAAATGTTTTCTTTATTATTATGTCCATTGAATTGTTTGAATTTATATTTAATTTAATAAAAATATATGTACTTTTATTATTTTATTATTGAAAAAAAAATCCATGAGAATACATCAACTAAATATATGGATTTCGAATTTTCATTTTTTCGATTTTTTTTTTCAAATTCAATTTTTTTTAAAAAAAATTTATTTATTTTTAAAAAAGCTAAGTATTTATTTATATATTTATTAAAATTCTATACCTCATCTTTCAAAAAAAATATCCCTCAAATCTAAACTCTAAATCTACATTAGTTATATTCTATGATTATAAGTATTTATTTAATTTTTAAAATTGAGGGTAAATGTAGCTAATGTAAATATAAACATTTCTATTCGAAATGTGGTCGTTTACACAATCGGGACCAAAACTAAAAATAATAATAAAAGTAATGAAAATGCAAACATTAAGGTTCATAATTGTTTTACAACAATTTTATCTAAGTATGTTATTATTCTTTTTAGAAATTATAATTACACATTGGTATAGTGTCAATATAAGCCCACAATTATATATGTTTCTTTTAAATTTCACACATTTTAACAAAAAAATATTATTTTTATCCTATTTAAGATGTACACTATATATTAATCTCAGATCTTAAAAACAATGAATAACCATACATGATGTATCATGTGCTTTAGCATGAATTTGTCATCATGTACTTCCTTTAACTTTAACCCGGGATTACACAAATATTGTATTTAATATATATATATACACATATACTACATATATGTTATAAAAGTATATATATAGTCAATGAATTAGATATGAGTAAACACACACAATCTATTGTTTTTACTATCTAAAATATGTATGGGATGATGATCAATTGTGAAATGAATAAAGACTTCGTTAAACCTTAATTATTATCCAATTTTTTTTTTTTTTTTTACATATTTAGGTTATTGTTAAAATATATTGTTAATCTCAATTGATTTTTTTAATCTTAAAATTTAGTTCAAATTTACAGTATTAGAAACTATTTATGGTTTTTAGAATCTATATATGAGTTGATGCGCTTACTATATGTTTATTCTAGAATCTATATTATAATGATACACTTTCAAGACTCCTTAAGGTGTCCACATAGGCAGATTGTGGGTCCCACATTTTTATATTAAAATAGATAGTTGTTTTAAAATGGCTACAAACAAAGAATATCAGTTTAGCCAAGTGGTCTAAGACCCCATGTTTGGTCTCTGAGGACATGGGTTCAATTCCCACTGCTCTCATGCATANAATCTATATTATAATGATACACTTTCAAGACTCCTTAAGGTGTCCACATAGGCAGATTGTGGGTCCCACATTTTTATATTAAAATAGATAGTTGTTTTAAAATGGCTACAAACAAAGAATATCAGTTTAGCCAAGTGGTCTAAGACCCCATGTTTGGTCTCTGAGGACATGGGTTCAATTCCCACTGCTCTCATGCATAAACCAATTAATGTCATCATCATAAAAATATTTTTTAAACACACATAGTCTTGGTAAGATGGTTATAAACAATGAAATACACTTTAGCCAAGTGGTATAAGGTGTCTAATTAAGTATGCAAGATTGTGGGTTCAAACCACGCAGCTATCATGTATTTTTGATTTTTTTTTTATTTAGGTTATTATCATATGGGCTTTTTGTTTATAAAGTTCTTATGTTTTTTTTTTGGGCTTATTGTTTTAAAGATCAAAATAGTTGTATAAATCCTAAACCTTAATAAGTTCAAACCCAAAATAGTTAAAAATGAATCCAAAACGAATAATAAAACAAAAAACAAAAAAAAACAAGTCTCACGTGGTTGTGAGTTCAAACCACGCAAGATTGTGGGTTCAAACCACGCAGCAATCATGTATTTTTGATTTTTTTTATTTAGGTTATTATCATATGAGCTTTTTGTTTATAAGGTTCTTATGTTTTTTTTGGGCTTATTGTTTTAAAGATCAAAATAGTTGTATAAACCCTAAACCTTAATAAGTTCAAACCCAAAATAGTTA